AATATTCTCCATAGAATCCAAAGGGCATCTTCGTCCTTCCCTTGGCAAGTGTCCCTTCTGATGACGGTTTCCACCGGTATTAACGACCAAAACCATCATAGAATGAGGATTACAACCGTCATGCTGAAGTTGGGCTGGATTGGGCCAGCTGGGAGTTCGGAACCCTGGCCGGCTTTGTTGGCCTAGCCCTTCCTCCTGGAGTCTGATATGTGGGCCCCATTGTATGTTCTTCAAATGATTGCATCTTATTGGGTTTATGGGCTCAAAACTCCATTGGCTTGGATATGGAAGTTATATTCTCATCCTTCATGTATATTTCATCTCAACTTTGGTGGGTTGCATCCTGCATACAAATATACACCAACACTCGTGGAAATTGTTAGAAATAAATCTTACCACTATATTGAATATCTTATACTTTTATGGTCTTATGCAGATATTGATGGCGAGAATTTTGTACTTAACAACCGTCAACACCAGGCTCGCCGGCCTCCACTTTCCCCTCTCCCACCGGCGCGGCCGGCCGCCACTCCCTCTCAGGTTCACGGCAATGTCGACCCGGGTCTCGGTCTGGATCAACGTCAGCAGCGGCCTCGACAGCGGACGCCAGCGGGGGCGACGTCGGGAAGGGGCACTGGTGGCCTGGGGAGGAGCACAGCGAACAAGCCCGGTGGAGGCGGCGGCTCGGATGGAGAGCGGAGGATGGCACCGGCGGACGTCGATGATAGTCAGAGAGGAGCTGGAGGTGGCCGGCGACGGGCGCCGTGCCAGTGGAGTTGAGGCCCCTGGCGGCAGCGGCCCGGGTGGAGAGCGGACGATGGCGCCGGCGAACATCGATGATAGTCGGAGAGGTGCTGGAGGTGGCCTGCATTGTGAGGGAGGCCGACAGCGAACGGGGCATCGGGCCTTGAGGTCGTCGGGTGGTGAGGAGAGCCTCGTCCCCTGGCGGTAGCACAGGCGGATGGGGATGCCCCGGGATCTAGGCGGATGCGGCCTGGAGAAGACTGCGTTGGGCGGGCGACTTGGGCTCGGACTGGCCGGCGGCGGGATCTCCTCGCTCAAAGGCGGCTTAGAGAAGCTCGGGGCAGTGAAGCAGCATCCGGGAGATGGCGGCAGAGATCCATGAGGTGGCGGCGATGACCAAGGGCGCAGCACCGCCCACCAGATCGGCGTAGGGTTTTCTCACTTACATGTGGATCCTTTTTCTGACTAGGATGCCACGTCAGCTAAACTAGAGGTTTATATTGCTAGGGGATCTAAATTGCACGGTTTTGTATAGTTTAGGGGTGAAGATTTCTAATATTGGGGATTAGGGATGTCATACAAACCCGATGTAAAGTTAAGGGACAACTGGTGATGCAATCTCATGTGCATTGTATATATTCATCCATTCGAAATCAAGTTGAGATTAACCATACGTTTTGTTTACCTAATCGATGGTCAATGTTATGCTTATCACCACCTCATGGTCAACCTCTACATCACCATCATTTGAAGCTTGAAATTAAAGATATATATACATAAGGATTGGTAAAAATTGTACTAAATCCTTCCATCCATCTAAAAATAAATTATATCGCTAATGTGCTAGCATATTCAAAATGTTATTTCTGAAACATCCAACCCCCCTAACATCAAACCTTCTTCACATCACACATCCAAAAGATAAAATTTAGAAAAAATAGTGGGTGAGTTTATCTAGTTGTGGTACTACACTATAGATCAGAATTACCTTGATAAAAAAGTTTCATCCACCGATGTTACCAATTTTGAACCCCTGCATTTTGAAAGCCCTTGTTAGTTGTAGCTTCAATCATCTGTTTCACAAAGGTTAACTTTCTTTATATTACACCAGAAAATCTTTAAGAATTATAAAGTACTTCATCCGTTAAATTATAAGACTTTCTAGCATTGCCCACATTCATATAGATGTTATGTATGCTAGAAAATGTTATAATATGAAACGGAGGGAGTAGCTGACAAAACCAAGTAACATTAGTAGATGACAACTGCACACTTGTATTTGCCTTTTGGTTTCACTGGCCATAACCTAAATAATTTTCAGTGGTGCAGGAATTAGGCTAGACCTAAATAATATGATTTCGTAGTTGCTTTCACGAAGACAGCGCATCAGCTTCATTAATTTGTACTAGAAAAATTGTAAAAACTGACAAAAACACACAAATCCATTAATTTCACGGTATTTTCCCGCTTGATTAATATGTTACAAATTTATAAAAACTGACAAAGACAAAGACAAATAAGATACACTGCGGAACGGTCCCACCTAAAATAAAAATTTAAAAACTAAAAAAACAAAATACAAATATGACAAAACCACTTATTTTGAGACATCTAAAAATAAGTGATGAAAAGAGTATAGTTTCTCTCTCCCCTGCTCAAAGAAAAAGTAAGACACACTGTTGGACGGTCCCACCTCTAACAAAATTTTAAAAACTGTCAAAAACAAAATACAAATGACAAATGACAAAACCACTTATTTTGAGAAGTTTAAAAAACTGAAAAAAAATTGCAAGAATTGGGCAGTGCATCAACACAACTCAATAAAAACGTTCCAACAGACGTGGTGCCCCAAGAATAGCTCATGCATCCCAAGGGGCAGATCCATCTAACTCAAGGTGTGTTTAATTCACGCCAAAATTGGATGTTTGGTTGAAACTGAAACGATGTGACGGAAAAGTTGGAAGTTTGTGTGTGTAGGAAAGTTTTGATGTGATAGAAAAGTTGAAAGTTTGAAGAAAATTTTTGAAACTAAACACGGCGTCAATACAACTGAAGGATCCAGAAAAGGCAGAAGTCAAAGGCAGGCCGAGGGTGAAAACGGTTGTTGACAAAGCAAAAGATAAAGGGTTAATTTGATCCATGCCATTGCAACTTTACCGATTTAGAAAAATGCCACTACTATTCGCGATATCGGTTGGGTTCCATTGCAATTTTGCAAAATTGAAACCGTGCCATCGTCGTGACATTTTCCATCCCTTCAGTCTTCTTGCTTCTTCCTCCGTCTTCTTTCTTCTCCTTGTGGGCAAGATGCTCCAGCTGGTGTTCCGGAGCAGCAAGATCCGACGGGCGATGGCGGAGGCCAAGGATGGCAAGCTGGCGCCGGCCTCCACGGCACGCCGGGCAGCGCGGCGGTGTTCGAGCTCACCGCCAAGTTCTGCTACGGCGTCAGCGTCGACGGTGGGGTCAGGTGTATTTTGGATGCGTGCGCAAAAAAAAAAAAAAAGAAATACGACGCTACCTGTACATACACTATATGATGTGTGAAGGTGTGCACGAATCTTATTGCTATCGTGTGGATGCTAGCCTAGGTGCCGCAGCACCTAGGTGCTAAAAGGACAAAGGAGAAGGCGCCATCAGCCATGTAAGAGGAAGACAAGTAATAAAGGTGATGAAAATAAAACTTGAGCAGACGCAAAAAAAAAACATTATTTTTTGCGAATATAGGAAATATAAATGTATGCCTTGTTGGCTCTCTCTAAAAAAATTGTTCGCACAAAGCATGATAAGCTCTTAGGTAAAGCATCAGTGCTCATCGCACTGCGGCGTCCTGTATCTACCGGATTAGAGCTCTAATCGCATTTAAAAAATCAGAATCATGTGGTAAACCGGATCTTGAGAGTTCAGACTAACAAATCCTTATACACCAACAGAACAAAAGGCTTCCGCATACAGAAACAGAGTTACAGATTGTCAGTAAGAAAAAAAACTAATCTGAACTTCACGTATGCATTTCCCAAACATATCTGATGAAACAGATCTGGTGACAAACATTAAGCATGTCCTCATAATAAGAAACATCAATCAAAGAAAGGGACCTTGTACTGTTGTTCTGAACCATTCTACTTGGACAAACAGGGAACAACCATTCTACTGATAAATGAACAAACGGGGGATAATGGCAAGTTAGCATTTCGACAATAGATGACAAATTATACCTCCACGAGCAGATTGACGCCCGATTGCCATCATAGCTAGTAATTGCTAATCCAGGATTCAGAGCACCAGCGGCTGGATTCAACGAACTCTTGGCCGCATCACTCGCCGGAGAGAGAACCATGGCTGCATCCATGAACTGCTCCATGGGGGCTTCGCTGTCGGCCGCTGGAACAGCCATGGCTACCTCGTGTCCTCGTGTACAGACTTGAGAGCAGGGGTGGAGCTACATAGAGCTAGGGGGTGCCCAGGAATCCAGTTCAAAAAATTTTTTAGCTATAGTTTGTCTATTTTCACCATATATATACTCTGTCAGTTGAAATTTAGGCACCCGTATCAAGCTAAATTTGATTCAAACCAGAGTAAAACAAGCAAGTGGCTCCGCCCCTGCTTAAGAGAAGCCATCCCCATCACGCCGTTGCCCATCGGGGGAACTCAGCTCCCTTGCGGAGTCGCGGTCCGAAGCTTGCAATGCAGAGCCATCCACCGGGGGGCAGACTTCATGGTGGAGCTGTGCTGGAGCTACGGCGTCGTCGCCGATTACGCTGCTTCTGCCTCTCCTTTCTCCTTGCTTGAAGCAATGCTTGACCGCGTGACACATGGCGCGGGGCTGTGTTACCTGGGATGGGTTGCGTGAAACATAATTTGGTATTTGGGTTGCGTGAAGGGTGCACAAATCGTGAACAAAATCCAACGGGCCAAAAAAACGGCCGGCAAACAAAAATAAATCAGCAGGCAGCCAGTTAGCAATTCCCCTATTTTTTTTTCTTATTACTACAAAAATTGCCCGTGCGTTGATGAAGTCTATTTAAATCTTATTAGGGTTATATAGTTTAGTTAAGGTGAAATTCACAGTCAGAATTTGCTTGGATATACTCCATCCGTCCCAAATATAAGAAGTATTTTAGAAAATCATGAGCTACAATTAAGAGTCCGATCATCTCAAGTTAACATGCGAGTTTTTTTTAAATAGATTTTTTATACGACTCCTTCTGTATTTTTAAAAACAAACGAACTTAAAAACTGACTCAAATACGGATATGTATTTCCAAAAGCGAACAAACTTAATTAAAAACTGACTCATACACATATGACGTACCAAAGCACCGGTAAAAACACATCTTCAATTTTTATAATAGTAGAGAAAAGATAGAGATAGATATGAGTTATGTACTAGTTGAGAATACATGATGAGATGTTTTACACATGCTTAAACACATACGATGATTATACCTCCAGTTTTAACTGATAATAACTAGGTAAGTTTCCTCCTGTTGTAAGTGACCATGACCTTCCCCTTGGGCCCCGGCATGACGACGGTCCAGTCCGTCTCCGGGAACGGCGACACCAGCTGCAGCTCGAAGTTGCGCAGCAGGTGGCTCCATATCACCTTGATCTGCATGTACGCGAACGCCTCGCCCACGCACGCGTGCCGCCCGCCGCCGAACGCCGTGTACGCCAGCCCACCTGCACCCTCCTCCCTCCCGGCGCCGAACCTGCCCGGGTCGAACTCGCCGGGGTCCCGGTACACCCGCGGCAGCGCGTTGTGGAGCAGCAGCGGGCTCGCCACCGTGTGGCCCTCGGGCACCTCGTACTCGCGCTCGCCGCTGCCGCCGCGCACGACGAAGCTCCGCCGCGCGTGGCGCAGCAGCATCAGGGCCGGCGGGTGGAGCCGCAGGGTCTCCTTCACGCAGCGCTGCAGGGTGTCCATCGCCGCTAGGGCGGCGTGGTCGACGCGGTCGCCGCCGTGCCGACGGAGTAGCCGCGCCTGCTCCTCCACGGCGGCGCGGAGGTGGTCGGGGTTGGTGAGGAGGCGCGCGCCGGCCCAGGTGCTGGTGCTGGAGCTCGTGTGCTGCCCGGCGAAGAGCGCCGCGACGAGCATCCCGGCGACCTCCGTCTCCGTCGTGGCGCGGCCGTCCTTGTACCTCGCGTCGATCAGGCACTGCAGCATGTCGTCGTGCCGGGCTCCGCCGCCGCCGCCGCCGCCGCCGGAGCTGCCCCTGCGGGACCTCACGATGTCGGAGAATATCTCGCCGAGCCTGGCGCGCGCCCTGTCTCGCCGGCGGTGCGCCGGGATGGGGAGGCGCGGGAACAGGATGGTGACGAGGCGCATGCCGTCGTTGAGCTCGCGGAGGAGCGTCGAGACCTCGTCGAACATCTTGTCCCTGACCTCCTCCCCTAGTAGACAACGGCTAGCGATGAGGGTGACGAGTTGTTCAAACTCTTGCTTCATGTTCACAGTGCCGGACTGTCCCCATCTTGCAAAGTAACCCTGCACAATGCGTATATAGACACATACCACGTTAATTAATATCTTGGGCCTGTTTGGCACAGCTCCAGATCCACCTCTTCTGGAGCTAGAGCTCAGCTAAACAGTTTCAGCTCCACGTAAAATGGGAGTGGAGCTACTCACAAAATGAAGTAGAGATATGGAGCTGGGTTAGATAACTCCACAACTTAACTCCAGACTCAACTCCTGAAGCTAAATTTAGGAATTGGAGCTCTACCAAATATACCCTAACTCTACGATCAACCCTTGAGATTGCATCGAAATTTACCACATTTTGTATTATAAAATTTAGTAACTCCATGTATCTCAAGGTACTTAAACTATTATGGTAAAATTTGATGCATATACCGCTAACTTTTAAGGACGGTAAAATTTAATATGGATATAATTTTAATTTATTACCGTAGTGAATTTGCTTTTATTCACTAAAGCAACATGTCAACACTAAATGTGCATGCCAAAAACTCGTTTGCTTACCTCCACTTCAGCAACCATGAGATCAACGTAAGTCCTCAGCTTCGCCGGCTTCATGATATCACCAAAGAACCGGAACTGCTCGTGTCGAGTGGCATAATCCACATCAAAAGCGACCCCGGGACCAAAGGTTGGTATGGTGAATTGCGAGACCTCATCCTGGCTGATCTCTGAATCTAACCCTTTGTAAAAATGGCTTGACGCCTCTGACCCAACCAAGAAAGTCACCTTCTGTTGGAGCAAGCTAACAGTGAAAACGCTTCCCATCTTCTCATAATGGTGGCGGATGAATTCCACCGGGCCATTGGCGAGAAGCGATGGTAAAACCCCTACAAGAGGAGCTCCACGGGCCAAGGGTGGAGGCGGTGGTCTAGAGAATTTTGTGCCAGTGGTTCTTGTTCTTTCTCTTGTTGCAATCTTACTCAACATTGTTGCAGCGACGAACAGTTGAGCCAGGAACAACCATATGGCTCCTGTTGTTAAATCCATTGTTGAAATATAATGAAGTCTGCTGACAGCAAGGGACGATGAAAGAGTGTGTTAGTTCTATTACAACAGCAAAAGATAGAAATACACAATGATATATCAGAATATGTGTATGAAAACGCATAGAGAGAAATATTTAATTTAAGTTTTAGTCATTTTTCTCGCCCTTGAGACGAAAATCTAACAACTCTCATCGCTTCCATCTTTCACTAATTTAAACACAATCTTTGTTTAGCCAAAAGGTTAAATAATAAATTGTTTTAACCAATACATAAGCTAAATTTACAATCAATAAAGATTTACTAAACTAACATATAAAATTATACGAAGTAAGATAAGATTAAGTAAAACAAATGCATTTAAAAATTGCAGTAAAAATAAATTAAAGATATTTTTGGGCCCCCTCATTAATACTCATGGTTATAATTCTTATGAGCAAGTTTAATAATATAAGCTCACTGCTAGTTATAAACCTATATTAGAGACAAAAACAAAATATATTAGCTATAAAGTTATTTAGTTTTTCTTCCTCTCGCACACTTATACGTCTAATGTGTTTATCTTGGAGCATGTGTAGAATTAGTTCTTGCTTGAGATCCAACGTCCTTTATTTTTATTTTTAGTTATCTTTATCTCCATATAAGCTTATGGAGTAGCTCACTATTATCCTTCCTCTAAATTAAGAATGCATTGGAAATGAAACTTTGAAAATCTTTCACGCGACAAATAAATTACAATGAAAAAGGAACTGCTAATTAGTTAAAGCCTTTCAGCATATGTATATCTGATCTCCACCTTTATAAGTAGTACGTTTTTTGAGCAATCAATACGTTATATATACGTGGTATGTAGATCCGAACATATTGCTAGAATCTAATTAGCATTTTCTCTTTACTAAACCATCTCATACGGCAATACTAAAGGTATTATCAATGAAAACATGATATCACTTCGACTGTTATATACATGCAAAGAAAATTCACTCTAGAGAGTGAAAAAAGTGTATATGTGAGAGACAAAAAAAAAAGAAAAGAAGAAGGAATGTGTGTGTGTCAGAGAGCGAGAGAGGGACCTTTGTTTTAGCAGAAACCAAGATGCTTGTTGTGGTAGTGAGGTTTTTAGCTCGTGAAGATGGATGATGCGTGGAGGCAGACGCTATCTAGCAGGGGTATTTATAGCTGAACTTTCACTCAACATGTGTCTAACATATGAAAAACATGGCCCTTTTCTGATTGGTTGCTAACAACATGCCAGAAGGGCAAAATTGTCTGTCGATTTCACGAAATTAATATTGCCTGCCATGTCATTTAATATTGCCTGCTATCTATTGACATCTGGATATGACGGATCGAACGCGTTATCACCTGGACCATGTGTTGTTCGTTATGCTCTCGTGTTTGCAAAGTACGTGTGATCATCTGGAATAGATGTGATTATTTTGACATGGGTTTGAATTTACATTTATATATTTGTTAACAAGTGTACTATATAATTTACATGTATTTCTCAACTAATTTGTGAATCTCTTTGTTGTCTACTGCTCATCCATGTCCCAACCAAACAAGCTAAAGCTAATACAACAATTTTCTCGAACTATTAAAATATCCAGATGCATGCACTGAAACATTTAAAATTCATAATGCACCCATCCAATTTTTTGATGCACCTCCCTTGTCGCTCCTTCCAGTGAAGCGACAACGTCATCCTCGAGCACGCCAGCCTTCTCGAACGTGAGAATAGAAGAAGAGCCGCTGCCGCCTAAATTTGGGACCTCAAGACAAATCATTGCATGGCGCCACCTCAACATCATCTTCCCCAGTGCCAGTGACCACGCCATTGTCGCACGCCACCCTCAGGGCCCTGGTTTAGTTCCCAACTTTTTCTTCAACTTTCAACTTTTACATCACATCGTTTCAATTTTAATCAAACTTCTGTAAAATCAAAGTGTTTTTGATTGTTATTCTGTTATGAACAATTTGCATATGAGATTATTAGTTTTGATATTTGGAATTTATTTACGAAGTGGTTTTGGAGATGATTGAAATTTGCAGGTGAATAGGAACTGATGTCTGTGATTTGGGTTCGGTCAGACCGGGCAGTGTGTGCCGGTCAGACCAGTGGTGATCGAGCGTTCAGACCGGCCAGCCCGCGGTCTGACCGGCCGACTCTGTGTTGGTTTCGGTTTTGGGTTGTTTATTTGGATATCCATGATTGTTTCATATTTATGGCTTCTAGATGGATACTATGCGTATGTAATACTGTTATTTGCTACTAATGAGTCAAGTTGGAGATAGCTTGGTCTCGAAATATGGTTTCTTTGTTTGTTTCATGTGTAGGTGACTTGATGCTTCGGGAGAGTATTGCTGGTGATGGATCGGGAGTCAGCTTGGGGATAAGACGATGTCCGTGACGGTCAGATATTGTGCGGGATACTTAGGCTAGAGTTCAATGCACGTGGTTGGTGAAGATTCCATATGGCATACGATGGAGGTATTGTGTGCGTATGGGATGCGGAGTCGAATTTGGAATGAGTCCAAATTTTTTTTGATGTGAAACAGCAGGAGAGGCTCCTACTGCGCTATATTAATAATATAATAATAAAAAAGGGGACAATATTTACAAAATTTACAAGGAGTCCAAATTTGGTATGATTGGAGTTTGTAAAGTTTGTTTCTTGTACGAGAAGGTTTCGTAGATGGTTTAGGACTTCTAGTATGAGTTTGGTTCGTAGCTTTAGACTGCCTACCTCATGTATAAATAGAGAGAGAGTGTGAGGCTTCCCGGTATCGCTTTTGAGAGCAATTGAGTTGATAGTTTAGTTAGAGTTTCGAGTTTAGTCGAAATTTTTGTAAAGAGTGCTGTTGTTGCACTTTGTAAACACAGAGAGAAGCAATAAAGTTGTCATCTACTTTGAGAGTTCTTCGATTTGTGTTTCATCGGGTTCGGTGGTCTAACCGACAACAAACCGGCAGCATCGCGGCGGTCAGACCGGCGGCATACCTGTGGTCAAACCGGCAACGGCAACAGGAGGCAGAGGCGACTTTGGAGCGGTTTGGCCGGGCGATCAACTCTAGTCAGACCGACAGCTTCCAGGCGGTCAGACCGGCGCATCCACTTCGGTCAGACCGCGATCCATCGAATTTGAGGGTAACTTTTAATTCCGCAAAAAGTTTGGGTTTTTTGGCATACCAACCATTCACCCCCCCTCTGGTTGGCTTAGTTCTTGTATTTCGATCCTATAAGTGGTATCAGAGCCTTGTTTTCTTCTTTGGATTTTAACCGATTTAGAGTTTTTGCCATGGCTAATAAGTTTACAACTAAGCCCCATGTTTTCGATGGAACGGATTTTTCTTATTGGTGTAGTAAAATGCAATCTTATATTATGGCTGAGGATCTTGATATTTGGAGAAAAGTTTCTAATCCTTATGTGATTCCTGAACAAATTAATACTGCTACTTTAAAAACTGAATTTGAACAATTGCAAAGCTCCCAATATTCTTTTGAGTGGGATTTCTCGTTCGGATGATGATCGTGTTTCTCATCTTCAAACCGCCAATGAGATTTGGATTGCTTTGAGTAATTTTCATCAAGGAACTACCAATATTAAAGAACTTCGTCGGGATCTTTTCAAAAAGGAGTACATTAAATTTGGGATGAAACCTGGAGAAGCTTTGGATGACGATCTTTCTAGGTTTAACAAAATTTTGAGTGATCTTAGATCTGTTGATTCTTCTTATGATGTTAATTATACACAATCTGAGGTTTCTCGCTACTTTTTGAATGGTCTTGACATGCCTATTTGGGAGATGAAAGTTACAGCTATTCAGGAGTCCGTTGACATGTCTACTTTGACTTTGGATTCGCTTTACACAAAACTCAAAACACATGAGATGAATATTCTTTTCTCGTAAAGTTGATTCTAAGTTTAGTGCTTTGGTTTCTTCCTCGACTTTTTTGGATGTTGGTGCTCCTTCATCGAAGTCTTCTATTCTTGTTTTAATTAATGCCATCTCCGATGAGCAACTCGAACAGTTCGAGGAGGAGGATTTGGTTTTGGTTACTAACAAATTTTCTCGAGCTATGAATAATGTTAGGTACAGGAAAAGAGGTGGACCAAATCGTTGCTTTGAATGTGGTTCGTCTGATCACCTTCGTTCGCATTGTCCTAAGCTTGGGAGAGATAAGAAGGAAGAAAATGGTGGTGAGAAGACCAATGATAACAAGCCGAAGAGCACATTCAAAGGGAAGAAGATCAAAGAGACTCTCAAGAAGGCTTTTGACTCAAGTCTATGCTGCTTTTGAGCCATTAAGCGATGTAGATGGTGAAAGTGGAGATGAAGATAAGGGAAAGAACATCTCTGGTGTTTGCTTCATGGCACCTGGTGAATCGGATTCAGAGTGTGAAGACAATGAGGTCCGTTCTTTTGAGGAAGCTATTCTTATTTTGAGTGCAAAAAATAAGAAGTGTGAGAAGATGTATAGAAAATAGGAGTTTATTATTGAATCTCTTAACTTTGAAGTTGCTAGATTAAAATCTCTTATTCCCAATGATGATGATTGCAAAAGTTGTGAGGTTTTAATGAATGAGATTTCTAAAATTAGATATGTCAAAGCTGCACATGATTTGAAAAATAGATCTTCTCTAGCTCTTGGATTTGCTTTGCACGCACGCACTTTGGATGAGTTGTTTTTGACTAAAAAGTTGTTGCAAAAATATCAAATTGCTTTTCATGCTAGTTTGATGTTTAACATGATTTGTGCCAAAAAGTTAAAACAACAACATGATGTTTTGGATTGCTCAACATGCACACTAAACAAGATGAAACTAAAAGATGCTTTAGGTCGTGTTGAGTAAATGGAAGATATTGTGAAAATCAATGAAGTGCTTTTTTCCCCAAATGTAGTAAAAGCAAAGGTGTCATGGTAGATTGTGAAAATTGTGCTAATTTTGGTGTGAACAAAACACACCCTTATGCTCTCGTGTTTGCATCAACGTACGTGTGATCATTTGAAATAGATGTGATTATTTTGAAATGTGTTTGAATTAACATTTATATATTTGTTAACAAGTGTAGTATATAATATACAAGTGTTTGTCAACTAATTTGTGAATCTCCTTGTTGTCTACTGCTCATCTATGGCCCAACCAAACCAGCTAAAGCCACTGCAACAATTTTCTCGAACTATTGAAACATCCATATGCATGCACTGAAACATTTAAAATTCACAATGCACCCATCCAATTTTCTAATGCACCTCCCTTGTGCGCTCCTGCCGGTGGAGCGACAACGTCATCCTCGAGCACGCCAACCTTCTCGAACGTGAGAATAGAAGAAGAGCCGCCGCCGCCTAGATCTGGGACCTCAAGACAAATCATTACATGGCGCCGCCTCAACATCATCTTCCCCAGTACCAGTGACCATGCCATTGTCGCGCGCCACCCTCACCGCTAGATCCTCTCCCCCAACTACCTCCTTCACTCATGCTTCACATAAATGAATCTAACCATCCCAAGTTACAAGCTCCACAGTGACCTCGGGCTCATCCCAACGTTGTGAGATCACCTCCATGTCTGCTTGTGCTCACCATCTAATAATGGAGGAGGGGGAGAGGAGGGAGTGGCAGAAGAGAGGGAGAGGGGCCTTGCCTCCTATGCCTGCCTGCAGTCACCGTATGGCCATAGAAGAGGGGAAGATGAGGGAGCGAGAGAAGAGAGGGAGAGCGAGAGCAAGGTATGAAATGAGTGGTGAGAATTGAGGAGCGCCTGATATTTCTATCTTTTATCGAGCGTTCAAGCAGGAGTATTTCCACAATGTTCATCAAAGACATCGTAAAAAATAACAGCTTAGTATTATCCACCACCCCGAGCACCTTATCATAAAATGACCACTCTCGAACTAATATATCCTCCACAAAAAATCCGACTAGATCATACCCATCGTGGCCAAGTAGTGTCTTAGGCTGCGTTCGTTCTGGGGTGACAGGGAGTTTGTTTGTTTCGTTTTCCGCGCGCACGCTTCCCAAGCTATTAAACGGTGTATTTTTTGCAAAAAGTTTCTATAGGAAAGTTGCTTTAAAAAATCATATTAATCCATTTTTGAAGTTTAAAATAGTTAATACTCAATTAATCATGCGCTAATGGCTCACCTCGTTTTGCGTATCTTCCCAATCTTCTCTATCTCCTTTTCCTCAAACA